GTTAGCTTACTGTGTCACCTTCTTCCTGCTCTTTACCTTTCCCTGTGTAATTCTCTGCATTCTGGACCAAATATTTCAATGACAGAAAAATCTGACCATTCAAAATCCTTAAATAACCAAAATTTCCGTATTTGCTTTTTCTTCACTCTGATTTTGTGAGGGACAAATGACAAAAAAATCCAAGATAATACCAATGAACAAAGGATGCTTGCTGGTTAAACCCCATCGGATACATAATTTTTCTTGAGAGAGTAATATTTGGTGAGGACACTTCTAAGCACATGGAGCTATGGGAAATTTGTGGCTCAGTAAAAACTTAGGATTGGACCTATGCTTTTATTGGAATAGGGAACTGTCAAGTGAGGAAACTCCCCTATCGATGTAAGTCAGAACCTTTTCTACAACTTACAGTCTTAGAGAGTGTCCTAGATCACTAAGTGATTATGTGACTTGGCCAGGGTCACACAGCCAGTATATGTCAGAGTTGGGACCTGACGCCTTGTCTTCCTGGCTTTGAGGGCATACTCTGCCATGCTATCTCTAACTTATAAATCTTTATAAAAGGACTTATAGAGACTACAATTTTTAATGGTAACCCTAATGACGCATACACACACAGTGGATGGAATTTGGTTTTATATTCAGGGTTCAGGTGGTCCTTCCATGTTGACATGATGCAAAGTTAAGTTATTCTATCTCTTTACAAAGCAAAGAGGCAAAGAAAGGTAGGGCTGGTACTTTGATGGGGGGGGAGAGAGAGAGAGAAAGAGAGAGAGAGAGAGAGAGACAGACAGACAGACAGAGGATGAGTAGAAGAAACGTAGAATTGATACTACCCTTTCCCCCTGGAAGGGACCAAAGAGAGAGAATAATTAGAATAACAACATAACAACAGTACATCAGCTCCGGCCTTGGAGTCGGGAGGACTTGAGTTCGAATCTGTCCTTCGACACTTAACGCTTACTAGCTGTGTGACCCTGGGCAAGTCACTTAACCCCGATTGCCTCACAAAAAAAAAGAATAACAGTGCACCTTTAAGTCTTTCCCACTATTCTCAATCTAGTCAGATCTTATTTAATCATTTAATAATTATTTAATATAATTAATAATATTATATATATAATATATATATTATTGGTCAGATTTTTCTGTCATTGAAATATTTGGTCCAGAATGCAGAGAATTACACAGGGAAAGGTAAAGAGCAGGAAGAAGGTGACACAGTAAGCTAACAGCCTACTTCTCCTCCCGTGCCCCCTTTCTCTTGTTAGCTGTAGCTCCTGTCCTTGATTCTTGGCTGCCTTAGAATTTGCAGAAATTAAAGTGGATTTGGCATGGGCTTAAGGACCTGCTGTCCCTGGAGGTTTCGTAAGAATCTGTTATCCTATTTCTTGTCCCATGGATTAAGCACATTTTCTGTTGGCCTAGGTGTCAACCATCTGCAATATAACTGGAGCTGTGACATGCCCACCAAGAATTATATATATAATATAATATAATTATATAATATAATAATATATATAATAATATAATAATAATATAATATAATAATTTAATAATTAATTCCCTTTTTGCTAGAGTTACCATCTATTCCTTAGTAGCCCTTGAGGATTAGAGGTAACATTATACATTCTGCATTCCAATCTCTATACCACATCTTCAAGCTATTGGGGGGGTGTTGCCTCCTCCAATAATTATGGGAATAAGTCAATTTATGAACAACAAGTCAATTTAAGAGGTAAGTCAATTTTGAATCAAGAAGGTCCAATTCCGTTATCAACAGAAAGATTCACTTGCATGACTCCTTGCTGCCCACTTCGCTGAGATCTTTGGAGTTCAGTGTCAGAGGGGTGAGTTATCACGTGCTGCCTGTCTGAATGTCTATCAGGTAAAATGGTGTTGATTTAGAACTGAATTACTCTCGAACTGGGCTGAGAGGCCACAGTGCCACTCTGACGCGGGCACCCCGACAGAGCTCTGTCAGCTGTCCCGCAGAGGCCATTCCTCCCCCATCTTCTCCCACTTTAGATCTCTGTTTTATAAAACCAATCCTCCTCACTCACCTTATTTATCTATAGAGCAGATTTACTCATGTTACTCTCTTTTGCTCAAAATGGGGGCTCCCAGGTTCCCTGTTGCCCACAGGGCTTTTCCCTCAAACTGCTTTCCTTGTTATTTGAGGAATGGAAAGAGCACTAGCTCTTGAGTCACAGAACACAGGTTTGAATTCTACCTCTGATGACTACTACCTTGGGCCAGTCATCCTCCTCGGGCCTCACTTCCTTCTCTATAAAATGAGAGTGTTGGATTAGATGACCTCTGAGGTACCTTCTAGCTTGGTATCCACATTCGTTTCTGTTTGATCTTGTCTCTGTGCAATCCTTCCCTCCTTGTAATCTAAACTCCATCCAAACTGTGCACGGGGGCTGGGGCGGGGAGGATGTGGGGGGGTGTGGGGGGGCCCTGACTCCTGAGGACATGTCCTTTGTGATCGAACTTCTCTGTCTTTGTTCGTGGTGTCTCTCATGCATACAATATCCTTCCTGCTTTGATATTTATCCATTCATTAAAGTGAAACTCAAATACTACTTTTTCCATGAAGCTGTTGGTAGTAACCTTTCCCCTTGAACCTCACATAGTTCCTTATTTTGAAGCTATTAATGTAGTTATCACAGGATCATAGGATTTAGAATAAGCACTCAGAGATCATCTAGCCCAGGGATTCTTAACATTTTTTGTGTGTTGTGGGCCCTTTGTCAGTCTGGTGAAGCCATGGACCCCTTCTCAGAAGGTGCACTATAGTTAGTTATCTGTGTTTGTGACTTTTCCCTCAGCTAGATTACAAGCTCCATGAGGATAGGAGCTGTGTCTTATTTCCATTTTGCTTAGGACTATGCTCTTTACTCAGCAGCCTCCTAGTAAATTTTTTATGAAGTTGATTCAAATAAATGAAAACATTTTAGGTAGGTTTGGAATTGTAGAATACCCTATTTTGAGCATGCCCATTAATAAAGGTTTTTACTGGGACAAGGTTGTTTTTCCTTCCCTCCTCTTTTAAAAAGTACATCTTCTTATCTCACAATGTTATATTACCACCATGAAGCTCCAGGCAAAAAAGACTTGGTTAGAAAACTATTCATAGGTTAGTATTTTGAGACTTTCTCAATCAAGTTGCTGCTTGACTGTTCAGAGCAGTTGTTAAATGGAGAAGCTAGATGCTGAGATTTATTGATGCCAGAAAGAAAGAAAGAAAAAAGTAACCCTAAAACCCAACTAAAGTGTTATCTTTGCTGCCCAGGAGGGAACATTTAAATAATTCACACATGAGCTTTGGCACCCTGCTACATGCTCAGATCACCTTATGCAACCCCAGACCCCCTGAAAGCTAACCATCTGTTTGGCTTATGTAAAATATAGGCCCAATAAAGCTTTAATGGTTTCAATTAAAATGGCAGTGGCCAAGAGAGTGAGCATGCAGTAAAAGGAACTTTACTCAAGACAAACAGGTTCATTGGCAAGGCTTTTACAGAGGGCTCAACTCCCTCGTTTGATTGAAAAGAAAAGGGGTAGACTAGAGAGAGTTCATAGAATTGTTCCCCCAAGTTGAGCTGACTTAGATGTCTTGTTCAAAAGCTTCCATGAAGCATTTTTCTTTGATGCAGGACAATTCACTGATTGTGTAAAATTTAACAGGGCTTCATATTGGGAACCTTAGTGGACATGATAGGCTACATACAAAATCAAACTGGTGATGAATTGCATTGAAAGTTGTTGGATGATCTAAGCCAAATACTTCCCATGGCTGCCTTCAGATGAGCAGTCAGAGTCAGTAGAAAACTTGGCATTTTTAGATAAGAGTACATCTTGAACATTTTAATTTTCAGAGCACATCCTGCTTTTAAATAACCCCCTATAAAAAGCAAAGTGGCAATTGAAGAGCACAACTTTGGGATCTTGAATATTCATCAAGTCAGACAATTTGCTGTTTTGAAATCTGGATGTTCCTTTCTTGCCATCATTTTCCCATAGGATCTTCCAAGGCCCTCCTTTTGGGAGAATGTAGTTGCCCTCTAAAGGGACTGACTGGATACATCTAGCAAAATTGGAAAGAAAGGGGCTAGAAGAAAACTGCTTGAGATTGTAACTTTCAATTTTCCTGCTTTTTATTTAATCTTGGAGACCTTTGAGTTCTTTGTACCTGCAAAAAGTCAAAAGGCAGCCCATTAATGAGCTCAGCTTCCTTTGCTCCCTCCTTCTGCCACTCATGGTTTCATTTTTCAAGTATTTGAAAGTTCAGCAGTCCCAGAATGCTAACAAATGCATGATATTTGATATTGGGTGGTAATAGACAGTGTTGGTAGGGTGCATAAGTTCTATAAGACTCTTTCCCTGCCCTGCCCTGCCCCACCTCTACTTCTTCAGAGGGAAACTAAAATCTTACAGACATCAGGTTTGTTATTTGCAAGCTCTTGACTTTGGGTGATATTTGTTGTCCTAGAAATACAAGTAACACAAGGAATGACACAGCATATGTTTTAAACTTGGTATTTTATCTCCACTCCAGGTTGTTGTGTTTTTTGTAATAGAACTAGTTGTGGCCATTCTAAGAAACTGATGCCAGTTTTTCCAAGTAAAACAGTAAAAACAAATGAAAAAAGGGTAACATAACTTTTCATTAATTTTATTTTGGGGTGATGGTGGTAGATTAGATGTGAAATAGGTACCTAAGTTGTAGGATCATAGGATCATATATATGTATAGAGCTGAAAGAAACCTTAAATGTCATCTAATCCAACCCCCTCCTTTTACAAATGAGAACACTGAGGGCCAAGTAGGCTAAATGACTTGCTCTTGATCAAATTGGTAGTAAGTCTCAGAGGTGGCATTTGTACCCAGGTTGTCTGATTCCAGAGTCTCTGCTCTTTCCATTGTATCAAGTATAAGTGCTCCAATGTTTCAAAAGAGCTATGTTGTCATTTGTCTGGGAACTTTTTTCACAGATGTGGATCACAGTCCTTATAGACCTTTGTAGATAGACTTCATCATCCATCATCCAGGGAAGCAACTTCTGTAGAGAAGGGGCCAACCATCTCCATCAACTACTGAAGAACTGTCACCTAAGAGGCAGCCAAACCAGCAGCCTACATAAAGTAGCATGGTACCCTGTGAGAAAGTCAGAAGGGAGCCTGTGCTAGGCAAATGAAACCACTGCCATCTTCTCAACCACCACCTCCCCTGTAGACCTTGATGGAGAAAGCCTAGATCCCTGAATCTGAGTCTTGGGAGTGGCAGTACCCTCAGACCACTGGTCCTTCTTCCAGGATTGGTCCCACAGCTATCATTCTGAGAAGAAATCTCCTTGGAGATACAGTCTGGCAACTGCTTCTGTTGGTACTGCAGCCATAGCTACTGAAGACTTGGAAAAGAAAATTCCACCTTAGCTTAACACTGCCAAATGGCTCAACGTCAGAAACTGATATGTCTTTATCAGTGGAAATGATATGAAATAAGAAGCACTACCACCTGCTTTTCCGCTATTCCTTAAGGGACATGGGACCTTTTCATCTGGTTTGTAGCTGAAACTTTCTATGTGTGATGTCACCTCCACTCAAGTGTGAGCTCCTTGAGAACAGAGGTAAGCATAGTGCTGTGCACATAGTGCTTAATGAATGCTTTTCATTAATTAATTCATGATTTACTTTGATAAAAGAATTCACTACCTGGTAGCTAGGTTTCTTGTTATAAACATTTAACGACTCTAGCTCTTGAATAACTATTATACAATTTAAGTTGCCAAAAGGATCTATGGAATAATAAAAATGGACATAAAACCCAATTCTCTCTTCTCCCTTTTAGTCTCCATCTGTCAGGGCTCCTGAGCTCCTTCATCCGTTCTTGGGAGGGACTCAAGAGAATGAACCACTTGATCACAGAGGATATGAAGTGTTTCCTCTTTGAGTCTACTGGACTCCCCTGAGCACAGGGGTAGCCTTGTAGAGTCAGAGGAGGTGGCATTTCTATTTGATTCAGTGACAGAAAGTTCTCTGTATGATAGAGACTAAACTTGGCCTTGAAAAGATGACACTTCTCTAGTAGCTAGGCAGTTTCTGAGAAAATTTGGAGGCAGCAGAATAAAGCCTACGGCTTTGAGGATAAAATACGCATAGGATTTCAGTGCATCTGCTGTTAGGGAGCTATCCATGGTACTGGAAAACACTGCCTGATCTATTCAAAAAGGCTCCTATCTCTCTGACTAATAGAGTGTACCTGCCTTTGTTTTTCACACTGTTGACTATACTCCATACTAGCAACTTGCCCCTACCTTCTTATGGTGTTTCTGTGAGTAACTCCTCTGCCATCCACTTGTCCTGATTTATGTCTAGTCTGATTTTTCCTAGGTCTATATTTGCTACTAGTCCTGTCTATTCCTCATTCCTGCATCCTGGTCCCCATACTAAGTTCTTGTCCTCATCATCTGTCTTGTGTTTACTATTGGGAGATTGTAACTTTATTTGGAAGGGACCCATTTTTCTGAATCATCTTTGTAGTGACTAGTACACATCACTATTTCACAAATCCTTAATTTTATTTTAAAGCAGAAATCATAATTTTGCTTTTTGGGTCAGTTATGTACCAGAGGCAGCATAGCATAGCAGATAGAGTGCTGGACTTAGAGTCCAGAAGATCTGAGGTATTTCATATATTAGGATGACCCTAGGAAAATCACTACTTTTTTCAAGCCTTGGTTTCCTCATCTATAAAAAGTGGCAAATAATAGCACCTTCTTTCCAGCATTCTAATAAAGCTCAAATGATATAATGTATATAATGTGTCCTTCCAACCTTAAAGTATTATATAAATGCATGCTCAAATCATTGAAATTGCAATAATAACTATCATTATGAGGGAGGATTGTTGATTTAGAATTTAATCAGATTGGAAATTATGGTCTTTGTGGTTCTCTAGAATGAGAGCATCTCAGAATAGACTGACCATGTATGGAACTTGGAGAGCCCATATCCATGGTTCCTATCATTTTGCTCACTGTGGAAACTGTCCTGTGAACAAGCAGAGCAAAGCCCTTTGGTTTCACTGCCAATTCTGCTATTGGCTTGTACCTCAGTCCCTTTATCTCTTGATACCTCAGTTTCTCCATCTGTGCAATGGCAAGAATTCTGAGTAGTGGGGGCAGCCAGGTGGCAGAGTGGATAGAGCTCCAGCCTTGGAGTCAGGAGGACCTGAGTTCAAATCCAGCCTCAGACACTTGACACTTACTAGTTGTGTGACCCTGGGCAAGTTACTTAACCTGATCACCTCACCAAAAAGGAAAAAAAAAAAAAAAGAGTTTGGCCCTGCATACCTGTGAGGCTGTGAGGGCTCTCTGAGGAGCTGTGAGATACTCTGAGAATGTTTTGACCCCCTTTGAACAAAGGTCAACATAAACACTATCCCATATTTTGTTTTTAGCCTAAAAATCATACAAAGAGCAGGATATACAAAGACAGAAGTTGGAATATAAACACAAAGTCAAGTAGTTCATAGGCCCCAAAATCAAATGCATGGGATATGAAGGCTTAGTGGATGGCCTGAAGCCATGCAAATTGGCACAGGCCCTTGGGCCAAGAAATTAGATTAGGCCTAACCTGAAACAATGCTTTAGGAAAGGAGTTATGTTAATGATAAGGACCTCAGGCCTCACTGGGATTGCTTCTACATTCTTTCAGCCTTTTTATGGGTAATAGCTGTTTTTTTTTCTTTTTTTTTGGAGCATATGTATATTGCTATTTCACTCACTTCTTTAGTGAGTTTATGAGATATTCTTAATAAGAGGCACTGGCAAGCAGTGTGTCAATAGGAACAATAGAATGACACTGGCTATTTAAAATAAGTGATTCTGATGAAAAGGAGAATGATAGGAATTTCCAGTGAAGGGAGTAACATAAGCGTTGACCAAGACCAATTTTTATATGAATCTTGGGCAAAATCTTTTCAAAGATGTGGAAAGGAATTACTTTAGAAGAAGTGTGGGAGAAGTACCTTAACAGTTCTGTGTCCCTGGAACCAAAGCAGATTCCTTCAGTAGAAACAGCTACTCAGTAGCAAGGCCCATAACAGTCTGGCAGCCTAGAAAATGTACCAGTAATTATAGGTAGTTGGAATAGATAGACCTCAGAAAGGGAGCAGAAATGTTGCAGAGGAGGGGAACAGATGGAATGACAGAGTAAATTAGGTGTCAATGTATGTATATTCCAAAGGTATTAGAAGTAGAACTGGAAAGAGACAGGGCAGAGGTTCTCCTCCTAAAGGGTGGTTAAAAATAGCATTGACCCCTGGGGATTCTTTCACATTCTCTTTCCTCCTCAGGGTACTGACTCCTTATTCTTCTCTGTGTTTAATTATTTAATTTGAAGGCTGAAATTTTAATTATTTATAAATCCTGCTGTTTAGTGAAGTGCCTTGCGCATAGTAGGTGCTGAATAAATATCAGTGGACTGAATGAATCAAACTGTAGTTAAGTGGAAGTACAGAGGATATACATAGGATCATAGATCATGGGCTTTAGAGCTGGAAGGGACATTACAGACCATCTAGTCTACCCCTTTATTGAACAAATAAGGAAAGTAAGGACCACAGACGTGAAAAGATCTTCTCAAGGTAATATAAATGACTTAGTAAGAAAGACAGAATGAGAACTCAGGTCCTTGGACTCCAAAGCAAGCATTCATTCTACCATATTCCGCTGTTTCACCTTCAGTATAGTGCTTAGAGGTTTTATATTTGCCTTGGGTGCTTCTTAACTGCCCAATTTCAGAACAAGTTTTGATTTTGCTAAAGAATCAAGTTCTGAACTGACTTTAGCTTTTTATTTTTTTCTGTTAATACATCAAAGATCTGTAATTTCATGGGAGTGGGAATCCCCCACTGATCACACAGAGTACAGTAACCTGTATATAATTTACAGTCTTCTAAGGTTGCCTGTGGCTCAGAGAGGTTAAATGATTTGCCAGTTGTCATACAGCTAGTAAGTGAAGGAGGTAGTACTAGAACCTCCATCTTTCTGAATTCAATCCCACCATTCTCTCTGCTATGCTTTCTCTTCTATTGATATAATGGATTTGCTATTAAAAATACTAATGAGGAGTCATTTTAACTCTTTGTTTATCTATGATGCTCACTGTCTCTGAGTCCACCAGGGCTAGTTTAGACATCTTTATTTTGTTTTGTTGTAAATAACATGTTGTAAGTAACTCTGATATGTCTAATTATCTGGTTTCCATGGTCTTTTGGGCTCTAAAAGTTGCTGCCCCATCTGGATTTACAGAAGTCACATGTCTATTCCCTGTACTAATTGACGTCTTGGCCACCACCCGTTATGCTCACAGGATTGTCCACCATAGCTCTCACTTAGATTAATTTTATGGTCCCAGTATCTCCCAAAATGTCTTATCCTGGTTATTGCTCCAAACCAAGCATGACTCTGCTGGAAAAGGATGAAAAAACAATGAGACCAAAGACTCATTAAGCTTTGTTAATTCCTCTCAAGCATTATTGATTGGGATAGGATTAGGGATAGAAGAGCCACTTACTGTCTTGTGTTGGTTGTCAATATTCTGTCTTTTGAAAATAAGGTTGAGAAAATTAAGCAGTCATGTAATGTTAGCTGTTTGATGGAAACGTTTTCACCTGAAAATGAGGTAGGAAGAAGCAAATGGGGATTAACATGAATATATATTTTAAATTACTATTTATTTATTTTAAACATTCATTTAAAAAATTTTGGTTTCTGATATATCTCCCTTTCTCCTACCCTTCCCTCATCCATTGATAAAGCAAGAAATGCGATATTAATTGTACATGTGAAGTCATGTGAAACTTATTTTCCTATTAGCCATGTTGTAAAGAAAGCAAGAAAAATAAAGAAAATGAAGAGATTATGTTTTCAATTTGCACTTAGGCTTCAACAGATTTCTCTCTGGAGGTGGATAGCATTTATTATTACAAGTCCTTTAGAATTGTCATGGGTCATTGCATTGATCAGAATAGCTAAATCATTCACAGTTGATCATCATACAATATCGCTGTTACTGTGTACAATGTTCTCCTGGTTCTGGTTACTTCCCTTTGTATCAGTTCATATAAGTCTTTCCAGGTTTTTCTGAAACCATCCTGCTTATTATTTCTTATAGCACAATAGTATTCCATCACAATCGTATATCACAACTTATGTAGCCATTTCCCAATTGGTGAGCATCCCCTCAATTTTCAATTCTTTGTCATCACACAAATAACCACTATAAATATTTTTATACATATAAGTCCTTTTCATTTTTCTTTGATCTTTTTGGGAAACAGACCTGGTAGTGTTTGTTGTTATTTGTCCTGCATATTCAAAGAAGATCAATGGCATCATGGGGGTGATGTCTTGATTTGTGTGTGAATTGAATTTAGGTGAGGCAGAGTTGCACAAAGTTGTCAGCTTCACTCTTTCTTCCAGATTCATTGAAGTCCAGTGGCAAGTCAAAAGTCACGATAACTGGTAATGGATTGGGATGCAGTGGGTGTCCTTAGCATCTTCAATGTCTGACCAAAGTCTAAGCACTTTATTGTGCTTG